ATTATAAATCTAAGCAGTTATATACCAACTTTTTAAATGGAAAAAACATTCAAGTACATTTAGATGAGTTACAAGTATTTGGAAAATGTCCTCTTTTGAATGCTAAGAAATTAACGAACTGTATGCTAACTGAATTTTTGTCATGTTCTTTAATGATGAATTCGGAAATCTTCTAATTCAAGAAGTCTTCTCTGGTCTTATCAATTGGATAGGATCTTTCTTTTCAGAAATTACAACTTTAGTTTTGTAAATCTTGCAGCATTTGCAAGATTTTACCATATATTTAGGACTTATTTGAGTACTAGCTCTAAATTTTAACAGATTATAACATTTAGAGTATGATATTTTTTCCTTATTCATTTTTGTGTTCCTTTCATTTTTTTCTAGGGTTTTAAATATAGCATGAATTACTATTGTTGGCTGACTTTCTTGAGTATTTGTATATTTCATGCTGTTATTGTTATTTTTTTTCAGTATGAGTGTCTAAGTAAATCTCAAATTTAGGTTGGAAATTAGAACCATGAACTCAAGAGAAGAATAGAATTTACTGCCATGTTAATCTTGTCTCCAAAATTATTTTCTCTTTAGTAAATTTTAATGTTGTCTTTAACAATTAACATATCCCCCTTAGATTCAAGGGTAGACATCTCCTTTGAAGACAGATGAAAGGCTTTTGACTATTCTAAACATAGTTTTTATGATTTTATAGAGTATTCACCTTCTGAGTGTGGTATTTTCAGAATGAAAACCCTACTCTTAAGTTAGTCTTCATATGGCAACTGTTTAATTTTTTTACTTGTTCTTCTCAAATGCATCTAATACCATCATATTTTCTGTAAACTTCTAGGACCAAAAGCATACTACAGAATATGTAAATAACCAAATTTCTTCTGATTTATAGAGTAAATCTCTATATTTTTAGATGACCAAAGTCCTGTTAGCTTTTTGGGGGTACAGAAACCCATTAAAATATCACTTTAATATCAACTAAGTAAAATTAAAAATTCAGTGCCTCACTCATACTGGCAACCTTCATAACACTTAACACTAACTCCATTCCAACTTCTAGCATAAAAGCAGAAAGACAAGTTCTAGGATAAGTTGCATTTTCACCAAAAAATTCATTTTTCTCTTGTCATTTGTTTTGTAGCTATAACATCTCCTTGATTGTTCTTCTTACAATGTAAGCATTTTTCCAGTGCCTCAGAGCTCCTTGATTTTTCTTTTTATCAGTGGTTTTTAGGAATTTGTTTATGATGTGTCTGGGTATCTTTGTGTTTATTCTGATTAGAATTCAGTGAGATTCTTGGATCTGTGGGATGATATAATTTTCGTCAAATTAGGAAGGATTTTGGCTATTGTTCTTTTGAATATCTTTACCCTTGTGAGACTCCACATATATGTATATTAAATAAATTTCATATAACTTACTGAGGCCCTGCTTAATTTTTTTTAGTGTTTTATCTCTGTGTTATATTTTGGATATTCATTATTTCTACAAATTCAAATTCACAGATCTGTTTTTATGCAGATTCTTATCACCTGTAATATCCATTAAGTATATATTTTTTTATTTTAGATCTAATTTTCATCTGTGGATGTACTCTTTGATTCTTTTTTTATATATATATAATTAATCTTCTTCCCGGTTGTGGGTCATATTTTCCAATTCATAAGATCTCTAGGAATTTTTTTTTTAAGATTGTATTTATTTGTTTGACAGAGAGAGCCTGAGAGCACAAGTAGAGGGAGTGTCAGAAGGAAAGGAGAAGCAGGCTTCCCACTGAGCAGGGAGCCTGATGCAGGGCTCAATCCCAAGACCCTGGGATCATGACTTGTTCTGAAAGCAGACACTTAATCGACTGAGCCTTTCAGGTGCCCCAGGTCTCTAGAAATTTTTGATCGGATGTTGAAAAATTTGTGTTTCATGTTGTTGAGTGTCTAAGTTTTATTTTTTTAAAGAATTATTGTACCTTGCTCTGGTAGACATTTAGATTGGTTTTGGTTTAATTTGATCATCTTGAGACTTGTTTTTAAATTTTGTTAGTGTAGTCCCAGAGTACCTTTTACTGTAAGGGATCATTTATCCCCACTACTAAGGCCTGTTCCTTCTGATATCTGAACTTCATGCTCAGGGGGCCAGTTGGACACTCCACTGTTGATGATAGGAACCAGGATGATTCTCTGCCTTTTAAGGGTCTGGAAACTCATAGCTTTCAAATAATTTTTTCAACAGCCTCATAAAAGCTTCACCTTTTACATGCATATTCTAGGAACCAACATAGACTCAAAGGATCCCTAAGACTATTTCTGGAATTTTCTGTATAATTGTCTTCTTTCTTGAAATCTGCCTCACAAATTCCTGTATCCTCAGACTTCTTGAACTCTAATTTCTGTTGCCCCAACTCAGTTAGGTAGCTGTTTCTACTTTCATATAGAAACATATGTGTGCCCACACACACATACACACAAACACACACACATATCTCATCCTTATGACCTGAAATATGTTTCTTTTCTCTAAGATGTCATGGCTCTGCAATGCCTGTGGTTTAATGTCTGAAAACAGTTGTTTCATCTATATTAGCCTAGTTTTCTGGTTTTTGGAGTCGAGAAAGTTAAAACCCTTGTTATTCTATCGTGTCGAAAAGTGAAATCCTTCAACTGATTGAAGATTCATGTATAGAGAAGTACAAGCTAAATATTACACTAGGAATTAAGACAGTTCTGCAGAGAATGATGAAATGTTAATGACAAAACTCTATTATTATAAATGCTGAAAGAAACTCTCAAGTAATCTTATGTGAGAGAGTAGATACATATAGACTTGAAGATGTTTAAGAGTCAATAAGTAGAATTACATAGTTGGCAACCAGGATTTACAGTTTTGAGAGTCATTTGCATAGAGGAAAAGGATGAAGTCAGAGAGGGCATGTTGCTATTTACAGTGAGAAGTCTAGTGCAGCTGTGTCTTCATCTTAAATTTGAGTCGGGGTCATTATCAAAGGCAGACCACTGGGCTCTATCAACCATGCATCTGACCCAATGTAACAGTTCTTGAGTTTGCATTTTAACCAGTTCATTCCTTTTTAGGAAATAAAGCATCAACCTTAGGAATTGTTTATTATTAAAAGTAATTCTATGATATTTCTAAAAATACTGATCACATAAGAGCAAAAAGAAAATAGTAGTATTTCTATGGATTGCATTATTGATGTTAGCCTGGAGTAATAATAAGAAAGATAAGAGATTCTGGAGACCCCAAAATGGATCTTTAGTATATTTTTCCCTTTCATTGTGATTAAAATACACAAAATTATATGAGGAAGCTAAATATTTGTTTAAAAAACATATGTACACCTTGATTTTTCTTTTTTCAATTGATTCTCAGAGCATTTGTCTTGAGGTATGCAATAGCTCACATTGCAAAATAAAAAAAAAAATCAACTTTCCTTTAACCCTAACCTTGAATAATTCATAAAGCAACCACCTAAATCTAATTAAACGGAAACAAAAAAAGGCAGCAATATAATCCTTGATTTTAATGATGCCATGCTATTACTTTTTATGTAATCTAAATGTTTCTGAACTCAACCTTCATTATAAAGAGTTATGTATACTGTTGACTGTCCAATATTTAGTAAAATTTTAATAATCCAAGGTGTGATCATTAACAACCTAATTTGAAACATTTTTATGTTATTTGGTTGCTCTTGATTTCAGAAGTAGCTGGTTTAAATGCATAGTGTGTACATCCTCAAACATGTTCAATTTACATGCCCTTAAGACTTCCACCTTAATGCTCAACTTAGAAATGTCATTAAAATTACTTTAAAAATATGTATTTATTAATTGCTTTTATAGCTAGAAGGTTTTGAAATAGATTATTCATATAAAAGTGTGTGTGTATATATATTTGTATCACTGATAAAATGTATTAATTAGCTAATGTTTGACAATGATCATCAATGTCAGAGATTGTATCCTTGTTGAAATTTTAGTTTCAAAAAAAATTTTTTTTGTTTCACCATATTGGTTTTTTAAAACTAGTAGTCACTTTAGAAGAAAATGCCTGGCCAAAAACAAACAAAAAGAAAGAAAGAAAAAAGATGCTTAGTAAATATTGTTGAATAAATGAATGAATGAATTTTTAAAACCTTACAAAAATAAATCTATAAGTGCTGGAGTACGTAGAAATAAAAGTTTCATTGAGTTTAATTAAGCACAATTAAATACTCTGCCAAGCTCAGAAAACAGTTTTTAGAAATACTGGCAGTCCTTAGGCAACATAGGAACTGTTAGTTAAATGAATTAAAAATGAGTTTGAGAATAGAAATTTCAACACAGATACCCAGTCTCCTAATTTGCTGATCATTGATGAAAACTAGCTACACATACTCTTTTTTTAAACCAGTATATGATATTGGTTCAGTTAAAGAGAATGTACAGAATTAACTCTATCTCTTACTTGCTTAATTATGTTTTTCTTATGTTCAATTTTTAAATTAATTTTAAACTCTTTTTCTCTTCTACAGCATTTAATGGAAATAATTTTTAGTTTCTGATAGAAAGGTTCTGATAATGAAATATCCAATATATGTACTTTTTACAGAAAATGTAGATCTAAAAATGCATGCACTCAGCAATATAAGGTAACCTATTCCTCAAACTTGCTTCTGAAAAACTGATAGACTTAAAATAAAAACAACTACAAAAAGTTTAGTCATTATACTGAATTTTGGAAAAATAAATCAAGAATTTATTTTATTTTATTTTTTTAAGAATTTATTTAAAACTGTATGCTAAGTGTTTATAAGTGTTTTCTTAACTGCATTCTGTAATGTAATCTTCACTTTTTATGTTATTAAATTCTCTTAAGAAAATCAGGAGTAAATAGGGATTTGAGGTTACCTGGTACACTGTTGAAAAATGTTAAAAGCCAGTAGTATCCATTAAAACTAATTATTTTCCTTTTGAATATTTTTGTTTGTTTCTTCAAGGATTAAATCAAGGTGAGCCAACCATGACTGGCAAAACACAGACCAGCAATGTCACCAATAAGAATGACCCCAAGTCCATCAACTCCCGTGTTTTCATCGGCAATCTAAATACAGCCATTGTCAAGAAAGTTGACATTGAAGCCATTTTCTCGAAGTATGGAAAAATAGTTGGATGCTCAGTTCACAAAGGCTATGCATTTGTACAGTACATGAGTGAACGACATGCAAGAGCTGCAGTGGCTGGAGAAAATGCCAGGATCATTGCTGGCCAACCGCTTGGTAAGTTACGCTCACATATGGTTTTCACATGGTGTTCTAGTTTTTGCACATATCTGCATATAGTTTTACTGTTAAAAAGCTGGCACTGCCGCATAATATCTATCTCTTATTTAACCAAGTATAGTGTTTGCGTATTTGTAATTTATATTATTTTCAAGTTTTCATTTTGTTTTTACGTTTCTTATTTTTTCTACAAATTTATAAACTTGTGATCAAGTCTGCTTTGTAGTACTTGTTACCTCCATCAAGCCTAACAGGGCCAGGCAAATAAAAATTATGCATCATATTTAACTTTATTAGACTTGAAATGCTATCTATCTTCCAGGGAATACTATGCCAAGTGAAATAATAACTCTGCCTTTTATACTCACAGCATTTGCTCTGAGGGCTAACATATTTTCCTAACTTCCTGTTTTTATTGTTTGAAGAGAAGGGATAGAAAATAGTAAAAAGAAGTCAATCTTGAGTACTGGAAAAGGAATATAGTTCACTCTTTCTTATCTAGTGTGGAATCTTGTACATCATGCCTGTGCAGTCATGTGCAATGAATGATCAAATTTTTGAATAATGTCCAAGGGATATATAGGTTTTTTTCAAAGGAAAGTAGATAATATAGTCTGAGGTAAGATGTGAATATACTTACAAGGAAATATTTCATACTAAATATGTAAATTAAAAAATAAAAATTAGTCTATTTTTCTACATGAGGGAAAAGCAAAATTAATACATCAGTGATTCCTTAATGTGTGTATCTCTTAGCCTGTCCAGATTCATATTTTAGATTGATTATACAACATCTTCTCTCAGCCTTATATGCCCAGAACAAAACTCTTGATTTTTCACACCCTCGACTTCCTTCATTCCCAGGCTTCTCCATCACAGTAACTGGAACCCTCACTTAATCCAATTTTTCAAATAAAAACTAAGGTGTCAACTCCGATTCTTCTGTTCTCCCCACAATCCAGATATAATCCCTCATCATGTTTCTTGCCTTCGATATATCCCAAACCCAATTTTAGCTATGTACCAATGGCCATCTCATCCAGTCCACCATTATATGTAATCTAGACTACTCAAACAACCATCCAATTGGTCTGTGGACTTTCTACTCTTGCCAGTGTCCTTTGAAAACATAAATGTGATGATGCCATTAACATGCTCTTAAAACTCTAATGCTTTTTCCATCTTACCCATGCTAAGATTTATATATTCTATACTATACCTGCATCTTCAACTTCATCTCCTCCTCTCTGCCTTTGTGTACCAAGTCAATAATGCTGGCCATCTTGATATGCCTCAAATGATCCAAGATTGTTAATACTTTGGAGCTTTAGGATTGCTCTTTCTTCTGCTAAGAAGACAGATTTTTGCTAATTTATTGCTTCCTACTTGATTGTGTGCTGTACTCAAAATTTCCCTGCCTGAGGCTTTTCCTGACCAACTTATCTAAAATAAGTTACTCTCTTACCTACATTGTCTATTCCATGACTGCACTTTATATATATTTTTTTCATATCCCTCATCAGTATCTAGCATAATTTATGATGTACCTCTATCATGTCCACAGAACACAAACATATGAAGGAGTACATAAAAGAAACAAGCTCAAACCATAAACAAATCGAGTTAGAAGCATGTTAAGAACTTTGCATTAGGGACGCCTGGGTGGCTCAGTGGTTGAGCATCTGCCTTCAGCTCAGGGCGTGGTCCCAGGATTGAGAGGGCTCAGAGGGAGCCTGCTTCCCCCTCTGCCTGTTTCTCTGCCTCTCTCCCTGGTCTCTCATGAGTTAATAAATAAAATCTTAAAAAAAAAGAACATTGTATTATTCAGTCACATAATATAGTTATAACAAATTTTGGGGAAGCCATAGAATTCAGTAAAATGAGAGTGACTTCTGAGATGATAGTCTTAAGTGGGGAAAAGATTTTTACATAACTGCTTGCTATAGACCCACAAATAATCACTTTCATATAGGAATACACTTTTTATTTACCTTTCTCTAATTCATTTTTTTTATATTTTAAAGAAAGGTAAGACTTTCCAAAAGACACTGGTAAGTTTTTTATTTGTTCTTATTTCCCTTAATGTCTCAAATCAGCTTGTTTACCTTGAAATGGAAATTTTCTGATAATTTTTGTTTTTCTTTCTAAGTTGAAATTCTTATTTCAAGGCCACATTCCTGCAATGTCAGAGAAATACCCATTTATTGCCTGCATCCTGACTTTATGAAAATAGTACCTACTTGTAGAAATGTTTTGATTATTTTTTTAGAAATTAGTTATCAATATATGGTCAATTAAAAGTCTAATTCACTTACTCATGAACCATATATTTTTAAGTAATTTCTATTCACAATGTGGGGCTTGAACTCAAGACCCTGAGATCAACAATTGCATGCTCTTCACTCACCAGTGAATTATAGCTAATTTTCCAGAATCTGGTGTCCTCCTACTGCTCAGTTGATTACTCTCCTTTTGAGAAGAAAGCAAGGAGAACATCAATACGAAAAATTTTGTGACTTATTTAGAAAAACCCAAGGGAAAAAAATGGTGACACTGAATCACTATGCTCTGAGAGCACAGAATTAAATTGTGCTTCTAATAAGATATCATTTCTCATTTCTAGTCTTTCATCTCAGATCCTCTTTGTTGTATCCTCAGGTTAATCTCTGTAGCATATATCTTGATCAGCCATAATCATTCTTTCTGCTTGAATCCAAGTGAAAGACTTTATTCTTTCCGTTGAAATCAAGTCTTTCACTACTTGTGTCTGAGCCGAATTTCTTTTCATACAAGGCAAGAGCTTTATAATGGTTAATAACTTTGCTTTTCAGATTAAGTGTCTGAATGTACCCACCTTTTCTAAAACTATATTTTTAGAAAATCAGGCAAGTCTTCGAATTGTTCCTTGTGAGAGCAGGTCCTTCAGTCAAGTCCTGAAGAAGACTTAGTTTTCCAGGAGGTATATTTGTTTCTGGCTTTAAATATTGTACTTTTGTTTTTGGTGAGGAGGCAAAACTTGGGTTTAGGTAAATCACTTGCTTCTTGAATTTTTTTTGACTCTCAGATAAAGCCTTCATGATTTGCAGCCCCCATCAAGCCCTACAAGCCCTTAATTTGAATTGAATTGCTTATGATCAAATAATAGACCATCATATGAAATTGGTATTAGCTTCATATACCACAGCTTGTGTAAGCATTCTTCTTTCTCTTGGAGTCAGAAGAAAATTAATACTGATGAAGGAATCCTTGCACTGGGTTAGTACTTTACCTGTATTATCTTATTTGATCTCAATGCATAGTTAAATAACTTCTAAATGGAAACAATCTTTTCATTTCACTATGTATTTAAAAATCTTTATGTACAATTTAAACATCAGTAGTACCAGAAAAAAACTAAACATTATATAGAATAGGTGAGACCTTATATTTCTATGGAGGTTCTAAATATATCCTTAAACTGAGAATAGGCTATGAGTATGATGAAACCCAAAATTTAATAAATGGAAATATGAGTGGCTGTTTTGACACTGAAAGATTTTAACTTGGAAAACAGTGTGTTGAATTGTCTTTTACTGAAAAAAAATCCATCAGCAGTTTGATGGATGGATTAGTGTGATATAAAACTAGAAATGGAACATATGCTGGGAGACTACCAAAAGAGGAATGGAAATTATGGAAATGAAGAGGAAAAAATGAGGAATAGCAGGTAGGATCACCAAGATTAAATAACTGGATGGCACAGTGGGTGAGACAGACACAGAGAGAGATAGAAGAATCAAGAATGATTTCCATGTTCTGCGTTGAGGGTTTTTTTTTTTTTTTTTTTTTTTTTTGATAGTCTTGAAAATCACCAGGACAGAGAATGATTTCCTAAGGAAAAAGGTTTTTGTGTTAAGACAGTGAGTGCAGGACTGAATACATGTGCTAAGTTTGAAGGGTATGCCTAAGGATATAGAGGTGTATGGATCTATAGGATCTTGGATACACAAGTCCAAACTAAGAGGAGAGATTTGGACTGACTAGAGACGTGTATATTCTCAGCATAGATAGTGATGAAGCTATAGAAATGGATAAGCTGACCCAGGGAAAACATATAAGGTCAGAAGACTCTTGGCTTAAAATGGATCTATGGAGAAAACTTGGGGTCGGTAAAAAGAAGAACCTTTTGGATAAGCCCTCTGAAAATTTAAGTCCAAACTGTTTTCTACAGTGCTATTTCCTCTCCTAGCACTAAGCTCTCTAAGCTGTAGTTGACCATGGCCTTCCTAAACCTCCTGTATCGGAGGACTCTTAGCTGCAGAGTCCTCAAGTCATGTCCCTTAAAGTGCTACTGATTTCCAAACTTCCAAGGCCATAGATGCAAATATTTTTATTGATTCTAATATTTTAAAATGTCATTTATGAGAGCTTAAGCACCTTATCTTTAATGCTAAAGTTTCTTTCCATATCAGTGTCTTCTATACCCAAGGCCATCTGCCCAGTTGAGTAGCAGAGAAAGCTTTATCTACCTTGCCAGGTTTCATTGTCTGTCTTTAATAAAACCATTGACAAAAATAGGAATGTTCCTCAGACCAAATGCAAGTCGACCGTTATAGATCCAGGCAGGATGATTTTATTCATTTGATTATGTTAGGGCACTTGAAAATGTAAGACCAATAATTCTATATATCTGTACTATAAAACATTCCATGTCTTTTGGAGAAAACATCTTTTACCATGAAATTGTCATCAAATTCTGAATTGAAATTTTAAATAGTATATATTTTGCATTCTTTTCAAACTCAGATAAAATGGGAAATTATTTTAAAAGTTGCTGAATCCTACCTAAAAAATTATAGTGCTCAGAAGTTGGAGCTCAAAATACTGGAACTCTAATCTGGATTTTGAAAGTAGGTCACGGTCTAACGTCTTGATTAACTTCCCTCTCTTGGATTTTTTATTCTTACTTTTTTGGCAGAGACTCCTAAATTCCATACCATAACAAGAGAAAAGGCGCC